CATCTACCAGGCAGGAAAGGAGCACACATAATTTTATTTTCGATATACGAACAGTTTGTCAATGTTTCTCAATGTTGTTTCCCGTTGATTCGTCTACAGCATTTTGTTCCGAACGCTGAACCATCAGTATGATTACATCTATGACTGGACAATGCTGAAGCAGAAGACCCACCAGGGCCAGCCGAATCCCGCACTGCTGCTGGAACAGTTGGAGCCGCGCAACGATCGCGAAAAGGAGAAAGAGAAACCGAACTGCAAACCTCCCATCACCGAGTAATTCAGCTGAAGAAGCAGCACGCAAAAAAAAACAAAACAAAACAGAAAATCAGATAAAAAACCTAAAAAAAAAAAGAAAGAAAGAAAGAGAGAAGAAAAGAAAGAAGCAAGGCAAATAAGAAGAGCATGAAGAAAATGATAACTAAGGGTGGCAAGCGTTAAAAACAAAAACAAAAAGCAGCAAAACACAGAGAGAAGCAGAGAGAGAAGTAAGAAGGAGAACAAGAAGAGGAAGAAGCAGCAAATGTATGGAAGTTAGGATGTTTCTTAATATTAATTTAAATACAATACTAAACATTTAAGAAAGATGAAGAAGAAAAACAACAAGAAATCAACTAAAACAAAAAAAAGCAGAAGCAAATATCTAAATGGAATTCACACACACACACACACACACACGCCACTTTTCATACACACACAACACACCACACACACACACACAACACACACACACACACACACAACAGCCACACTTAGCATAATAAAAGCAAGCAAAAATGGAATAAAAACAACATACACACATGCATATATATGTATATATATATATATATATATATATATTCAGATGTATATATACATATATATATATATATAATATAACACTCTCACACACACTCACACACACACACACACACATTCAAGAATGTCGCTCGCGTGTAAAAGCATGCATATATATGTATATACATATATATGTATTACAATATATATATATAGATATATATATATGTATACACTGAATACACTAAAATGCGAAATGAATAAAATTAAACAACAACAACAACAAAACGACGCAATAAAATCTAATTAATTAATAAACAAACAGCATGCGAGTAAGGCCAAGCGTGGAAGGAGCAGAGCAAGGAAGGAGTATATAAATAATAATAATAATAATAATAATAATAATAATAATAAAAAAACAGAAAAAAAAATTTAAAAAAAAAAAACAAACAAAAACAAACAAACAAAACGCAAAACTGCAAAGTAATTTTGCATTGTAAGCCGTAAATAATTATAAACATAACTTATATTTAATTTTTTGAATTACATCAATAAAAATATGTTGAAATTAAAATTAAAGCTCATTTCGTGTTGTTTCTCGCCTTGTGAATGCAATTTTAAATCAAAACTATTTATGCATTTCAAGACAGAGAGAGCTCGATAAATATGGTATCTATAGTCATATATATATATAGTATGTATAGTCAGATATCGGAGTGTCTGCAAAGTAAACCTTGTATGTTATTGATCTATTCATATCCCAGTTCACGAGAGATCGAGCATTATCTATGTATGTACAGTCTTATATAGTATAGATAGTCATATCTAGTTTATATGGTCATATATATACAAGCATATATGGTCATATAAGGTGTATATGTGGTCATATATAGTGTATATAGTCAGATGTCGGAGAGTCTGCAAAGTAAACCTTGTATGTTATTGATCTATTCATATCCCAGTTCACGAGAGATCGAGCTTTATCTATGTATGTACAGTCTTATATAGTATAGATAGTCATATCTAGTTTATATGTTCATATATTTACAAACATATATGGTCATACAAGATGTATATGTGGTCATATATAGTGTATATAGTCAGATGTCGGAGAGTCTGCTAACCAAAACAAACCCAGTTCACGAGAGATCGCGCATTATCCAAGAGTTGCTTTAGAGAAATGTAATATAATAAAGTCCTTTATAGTGTATATGTTCATATATATAGCCATATATAGTTTCTAAAGTCATATATTGTCATATAACTGAGCTTCTGCAAACCTTTTGCTCTTGGAGTTCATCCAGTTCCCAATCTTATAATCTTTAGCATTGTTGTAATGGAATATCCAAATGCTTATTTGATTGTTCATATAGATCTCATATGCAATACATATATTCCAATATTATCGGCCTTTCGTAAGGTATCTCAAAGGCTATTCAATCTGAATATAATCTATTTATTTGCCATATTTATGATAATTCCAATACTGTGCACATATATATAAGCCTGATCCGTCTGTCTGTCAATTTGTAACTTACATTTTTGGGACTTTAGATAATCCGGCTCGAGCCCTTCCTTTATATAGTTCCCATCGAAAATAGATAGTATATCGCCCATTCGAAAGGTAATGAATTGCCCGACTAGGAGATACCCTGTGTTTGGTTATATATAAGAGATTAGTTATTGGAAATATCAAGTCTCGACTAGTTGGACTTGGAATACTCGAATTATTGCATGCAACAAATGGTTAAAGAAAACTGTGCCCGACTAGGAGATACCCTGTGTTTGGGTATTTATAAGAGATTAGATATTGCAAATCTCAAGCCTCGACGTGTTGGACTCGGAATACTCTACTTTGCCCCTAATCAAACTGGTTCTTCAATGGATCTCGAACTATTGCAGACAGCAAATGGTTAAAGAAAAGTGTGCCCGACTAGAAGATACCCAGTGATTCGTATATATAAGAGAATAGCTAACGCAAATCTGAAGTCTCGACGAGTTGGACTCGGAATACTCTACTTTGCCCCTGATCAAACTGGTTCTACAATGGAACCCGACTAGAAGATACCCTGTGATTGGGTATATAAGTATAAGAGAAAAGCTAACGCAAATCTCAAGCCTCGTTGGATCGGATTCGGAATACTATTCTGGGCATCTTCAATGGATATCGAACTGATTCAAGTCAGCCGCAATATATGGAAAATAATAAACAAACTGAGCCAAGCTTCATTCAAATGGAAAACTTTTCCGTTTACAGCCCAGCCCAGCCCCGCCCAGTCCAGCGACCAATTACCAGACCGGAATATCTAGTCGCATGACAAATGCGAATTTGTTTATAATGCCTTACTGTTTGTTTTCATTAGATTGGCAAAACGGGAGCTCAAGTAGCCCGCGGCCCCGCCGTGAGACAGCGCTCTTATCTGATATCAGTCGCAACGTCGACCCAACAACAACAAAATCAATATCTATATAAATCTATATATATATATATATATATATATATATATATATATATATATATATCGAAAGAATAGTAAAAGGAGTGCAGGGAAAAACAAAGGTTTCTTCGGATGTGTCACACAGGCAGGCAAACACGTTCCAGTCTGGTGTCTGGCACCAGCGAAGAGTACTCCTCCACCTCCTCTTTAGCTCTGCTCTACTCGACCCTAACAAGCATGCCCGTTGCCCGGCTTAGTCCGGTCTTTGTTTTCTTCTCCACTTAACTCGAGAAATGCTGAAAGTTCTCAGTTACCTGCAAGGACAGAAAGAAACTCTTATAGATAAAGATGTATGTTCTACAAGCTTCGCTTCTTTCTTCAGTTCTTCAGCCCCACACTATGGACAAACTATCTTGAGTAACTTGGGTTCTCATAGTCCGATCTTTGTGAAATTTTCAGATCTTCAAGTTGGCATACAAACGTGTGTATATACCAAAGCGCAAGACTCTAGCCCCAAAAAGCTCGTTACTTTGCCTGCTTTGAGAAAATGCTCAAGTAATTCAAAATTGTGAAACATTTGCAAGCTGTGTATGTCAAAAATGAACACGCACACAAAATTTGCAGCATCTAGCTTCTATAATTCTCGAGTTATGCTCAAAAAACCATTGCTCAAAATCAATATTTATCGAAATTTATGAAGATATCGATAACAGATAACTGATAAACTGCTGCTGCCAGAGGTAAAAGAGAATATAGCCTCACATCCTTTCGATCAGGAATACATATACATATCTATATAAATGCTGCACGCATTCATACCCTGTTTCCCCAACTTTAATGGGTATTTTTTTCTGTTGTAATTTGTTTTTTTTTTTTTTATTTGTAAACGTTTCTCATAATAATAGATTACAATATTACAATTGTTTTTGTTATATTACATACTTTTATGCTTAATGAATAGGTTTTGCATTTTGCTTTTGAATTATGCATAATTTTTTTATTATTTTTTTGTTATTGATCTTGTTTTTGGCGTTTTGGCCTTTCTGCGCCTGGCAAAACGTCATCAGTTCGCAAAAAACAGCGCCAAAAAAAATAAGAACGAAATTAAAAAAAAAAAAAATGTTGCGCACATTTTTCGCAATTGTTTAACATTCGACAGAAAAATGATTAATATACATATATATATATATATTTAATTGTTGCATATTCTTTTCCTTTTTTTTGTTTAATTCTTTTTCTTAATGTTGTTTTTTTTTTGTTATTTTCTTGCTATCTCGCATGAACGTAGAATTTGTGCTCGTCTTTCAATTCTCGAATTAAACGCCAAGCAAAAATTGTCATCAAATGTGTGTGTGAGTGTGTGTCGGTGTGTGTGTGTGTGTGTATTGTAATTGTGCACCTGATTTATTAGACGCTGCAGCCGTCTGAGACGTCGCCGCGACGTTTGCCTCTGGCGACACCTTCAATTTTTTATATATATATATATATTAAATATGCAATTTTTTGTTGTTGCAAGAAAAACATATTTTCCGCGCTTCAAATTTGTTGTGTTAGCTAATAAAACTAATTGTGTGCAAGTGTGTGTGTGACAGCTGTGTGCTTACAATACGATATATACTATATATATATATATCTCTGTGTGGGTGTGTTGTGTGTGTGTGTAACGATGCACTGCAGCTCGGGGTCTGGACTCTGATAACAGACCCAACTAAAGCATTGATAACAAACTATATATATATATATATGCGCGTTTATATACATATACATATACACGTGTGTGTGTGTGTGTTGTGTCTGTGCTCGCAGGATATTATAATCTGTGTGTGTGTGTGTGTGTGTGTGTGTAACATTAAATTCTATATACATAATTATAGCTGCTCGCTCGCTCGCACGTGCTTTCTACTGCCCTCTCTGTCGCTCTCGCGCTTGCACTTGTTATAAAAATAAACTACATATATATATATATATGTATATGTATGCATTTATATATATACATGTATATATATAGATGCGTATCTAATCCTGGTTAGCTCGTCCTGCAAAGCCGCCAGTGCCATATATCGTTTGCTTTCCTTTCCTATCTTTTCCTTTCCTTTCCTTGCCGCTCTTCTATTCGATTCGTTTGCTTGTGCCCTGGCCCTGGCCCTGGGCCGCCGTCATTTGGCCCAGCGGCTGCGTGGCCTAGTCGGCCAATGTGTTTGGCTTGCTGCCGCTCTGCTTCTCCTTGTCGCGCTCGGCGCGCTGCTCCGGCGCCAGCATATTGCCGGCGCCCTGCTGCTGATTCTGGTGTGTCTTCTGCTTCAGCATTGTCCAGTCATAGATATAATCGTACTGATGGTTCAGCGTGCGGAACAGAATGCTGAAAGCAAAAAAAAACGTTGCTTAAATACGTGTATTATGGCGCATTGCCCGTCCTAGCCTGGACTTCGTTCTTCCACCTTTATTCCGACAGTCAAACATTTCAATCTAACCAATTTTCACATCTCATACTAAATGAAAAGCCCATATAAACGTTTTGCGCCCATTTGAAGCCGATCGGCTGGCAAGTAAAACGCTTTAAACAAACGTTTTTCGCCCATTTTCCACAGCTGCAGGTGGAACTGTCCAAATCGCTCAGACATACGATATTTATGTTGAGCTTGGAAAAGTAGTTTGAGGCCAAACGGACAAATTGTTCAAGCTTCCGACATCAAATCACCCATTTTCCAGCTATTTTCGAAACACGTGAATCTGATTATTTAAGAAAATGAATTTGGGGCCCATCGGAGGCTAAGCCGAAAAGCTGCATTAGCCAAAAGTCCGAGTAAGCGTGAATTTAAATCACATAAGAAAACAGAAGTAAACAGTCGGATTGTGCAGGCGGACGACTTACCGGAACAGCTGGCGCAAGTACATGTAGTCGGGCGCCTCCTCGAAGCGCAAACTGCGGCAGTAGTTCAAGTACATGGAGAACTCGGCCGGATAGCCTTTGCAGAGCACCTCGATGGGCGTGGACATTTTCTTCTCGGAGATTTTCTCATATTTCTGTTTCTTGTTGGTCGCCTTCATGCCCTGCCAGGGCAGGACGCCGCGATTGAAATACATCATCACATAGCCCAGGGACTCCATGTCGTCGCGACGGGACTGCTCGATGCCGACATGGGCATTGATCGAGGCATAGCGTGCGGTGCCCGTCAGGTTCTTCTCCTCGCGGTAGGGTATATGCATGCGTCTGTGCGGATCGCGATACTTCTTGGCCAGCCCGAAGTCAATCAGGAACAGCTTATTGCAGTGCCGACCGATGCCCATGAGAAAGTTGTCAGGCTTAATATCACGATGAATAAAGCACTTCATGTGGACATATTCCAGGCGGCCGATCATCTGATCGACCAGCATCAGCACGGTCTTGATGGTAAAGTGGCGCGTGCAAAAGTTGAACAGATCCTCCAGCGAGGGACCCAACAGATCCATGACCAGTATATTGAAGTTCTTCTCATTGCCATAGTAGCGTATACGGGGTATGCCCACACCTCCACTCAGCACGCGATAAAGCTTGTACTCGTAGAGCAGCTGGGGATGGCGTGCATTGGTTGCCTCCATTTTGATGGCCACCTCCTCGCCGCACTGCATGCTCATGCCCAGGTAGATGTCGCCGAAGGAGCCGCTGCCTGTACGAGGTCAAAACAAAGTCACATTTTAATTTTGATAAACAACACAAATCCTCAACGCAAATCCTTGAGCTGCGGCCCTGGCAAACTGCGCCATAGGCGCGCCAGGTGCGTAGTAGCCCTGGTTAATTAGGCGTTAGACGCTCGCCACTTACCAATTTTGCGTATTATTCTGTATTTCTCGCCCACGATTATCTCGGAACGGTGGTTCGTCATCTTGATGAGTTTGTCCATTGCGACGTTCGGTCGAGGTGGGGGCACGGCTGGCAGTATCGGATTTGTGAAAATATAAACAACAACTGACTGTGTAGAGCGCGCGCGTGTTAGCTATTTGTACACACTGGCCGTATAGTTTGTGGTCGCAGTGTGCCTTGCCTGCTGCGAGCTGTTGAATACGTCTGTGGCCCTTTTTCCTATCTGTCGAAATCTTTAAAAATTTCTTTGGACAAGAGCAGTGTTAGTGATGGGAGCTGTCCGACAATAACAGACGGGCACAAACAGCTGTTATCGGCGTGTTATCGCACAATGAATTTGCATATGCAATGGCCGAATCATCGGTTAGCCAAGTATCGATAGGATAATTGTTCGTTTTACAAGTAAAGAACGGCCATATGAGATTTTCTGGTATAGAAGGTAAACTTAATTGTTTGGTTTTTTTCCTAGAATCAATTAAAAGTTGTCGATTATATAGGGGGAGCATGATTGCCGAGCGTCGTGCATTAACGACAACGCTTGACGATGAATACCCAATAGTTTGGAACTATCGCTATCGCTTCGAGATGAACAAATGAGAGCTACTAGTTATCGATAGCGAGTCTTTATAAGTATCAAACTTTGGATTTGGCGCAGACTATATATATATTTAAAATGTATGAGAGCAGAATACTGCTCGCAATCAAATTCAACCATCCAGGGTGGAAAATGTTGGTTAAATAAGTTTTAAGCGTAGTTTAAATTTTTGTGTCAATAGATGCCCATCTCTGACGTGCAAATTTAAGCTCTGTCGGAAATGGAGTTAGTGTAAAAAAACTAATTGAAGTAGACACCGCCCCCAACACATTTTGACGTAGTTTACCTAGGTAAACTAAATCGAAGAAATACTGCATTTATAATGAAAAGAGAATTTACGAAATTCACTTTTACAAATTGTACACCATTTTCTGCGTATTTACCTAATGTAATGTAAATTAACACGATCAATTTAACATAGAAAACGTAAACGTCAGCTGAGTAACGCAAACGCAAAAGTGAGCAACGCAAAATGTGCAACGATAACGTTTGAATTGATCGATATATCATCCCTGGTAAAACACATATAAGATACATTTTTTTTGTCAGCAGTAGTTTTTTTTTTTGGTGTAAAATAATTTTCACTGATTTATTGTGCATATATTAATGTCAACAAAACAAGTATACGTAAGCGAACGTTGTGTTCATTAAATAAGTGTACTATTATGAAGCTTAACCAGCATTTTTAAACAAACTTGGTTAAAAGGCAAAAAAAGTGTTTTGTACAATAAAAAAGTGGCGACTTTTTGCTGCTGCTGCGTATGAAAAGAAGAGGAAGCAGCACATTGAAACGAATACCGAGTGCTCCGTTATACGCCAAAAATATTTATAGCAAGTGCATTTGTGTTTTTTTTAAATTTAATTGCAGTTGGCGAGAAAAAAACATAAAAAGAGAAAAACGCAAAATACCTTAACGTAATTGAAAGCGTTAAGTGACGTGCAATGTAAGTTAACAAATTATTTATATTATTTAAACAATACTGCAGCAAAGAATTATGAAAAGCGTCTCTGATTTGCAAGAACTCTGTATGTGTGTGAGTGTGTGTGTGTGTGCATGTATGCTTTGTTGTTTTTATTTTTCTGAGCCTTTGACGCGCTTTGTCCGCATGCACATGAAGGTATGTGTGTGTGTGCGTGTGCATGTGCATATTCCGGCCCTGAAGGTCAGCGCTGCTTTCTCCCGCTGTTTTTGGCTACTGTGCAGACATAATTACGTTTGTCTCTTCAACTTTATGGCCCCCGGCCACTTGAACCAAAAAGTAATTAACTTAAAGATGTGAATGCACTCACATATGCAGCGTTGTTGTTGTAGTTGTTTGCTGCGCAGGTACCTTACCCTCGCCCGTGCCCCTGGCGTGTGTCAGCCGCCCGCTGTCCATTGTACCTCAACCATCTCAACCACCCACACGCATGCACACGCACACGCACGCACTTTGCATATAAACAGAGCTGCATGCGGCATTTATCAGTGCGATATCGAAGCTCTTGCAAGATGCAGCGTTGCCAATTTAGCTATTTGTTTTTGTAGTTAACAGAGCTGAGATGCAGCTTACATTGAACTGGACTAATATTTTGAAATGATAGTTGGCAACACTGCACCTTCCAATTAGTCGCAAATAAGAAACAGCTCTTAAATGATTAAATTATAATTTGTGAGCGATTACTTTTATACTGGTATATTACAAAATATAAAATTGTATATGTTATACGTGCTATGCAAATTGGCAGAAGTGTTCCTTGATACTTGCTTATCATGTAAAACTCTTCTCAGAGAGCTGCATACTAAGCTGCAGCGATAACATCGGGTATCGATGCCAACTACGCACAATACAATTATCGATCCTTTTGGGTAACAACAGGCTGCAGTCGTCAGTTGGCGACGCGTTACCGTTGCGTGAGGACGTCTGTGCGCGCATAAAATACCAGTTAGAATACCAGAAAAAAATACGCTGCGATTGGAGTGAAATCTTTTAACTGTTGTTTCAAATTGTGTTGCTTTTTTTAAAATATTTTTGTTGCCTGTTGCAACACATCCCAACCAGCCCAAGTTGGATGCGCATTTCTTGATTGTTGTTCTTCATATTGTTATTGCAGTGCGTGAGCTGTGAGTTTTGTTGTTATTGTTGTTGTGGCTGTTGCCACTGCACAGAGATAGACAGAGACAAAACAATACGACATGGAGGATCGCATGATGGCCCACACTGGCGGCATGATGGCGCCCCAGGGCTACGGCCTGCCCGGCCAGGATGATGGCCAAAATGCTGGCAATGAGAACGAGGTGCGCAAGCAAAAGGACATCGGCGAAATACTGCAACAGATCATGAGCATTTCGGAGCAATCCCTGGACGAGGCCCAGGCCAGAAAGCACACACTCAACTGTCATCGCATGAAGCCGGCGCTATTCTCCGTCCTATGCGAGATCAAGGAGAAAACCGGTGAGTGCAAAATCCATCTAGAATTACTAAGAAAAACTATCTTCGGCATGTCGAATACGTGCATAGCTCTAGGATCTTGAAAGATGAGGCTATTGTAAGCTCCTTAATGCAGTTTAAGACGAACTTGGCCTCAATCGACTCGTCCTTTGATGCTGTTCACGAATATATATACTCAATGGGCTTGTAATTATACAACTTTATCGCTTCAAGTTTGTTCAACTAACTATGCCTATGCATGAACCCCTTCAGGGTCATCTGTGATGATTAGAACAAGCATTATAGAGTATTATATACCTCGTATAAAGTCATCTATTCTAAACTATTTGGCAGCGTTTCTTCGGGAAAGCCCCTAATGTAGTTGTAAAATAAATTAAGAAAACAAATTTGAACACAGTTTAGATAATTTTATAAGAAATATAAGAAACGTATACGAGGTGCTTTATGACTGGCTTCACTTCTATGCAAGGAAAAACTTAAAGGATAAAGAATTCAGTTAACATTCAATAGGCGTATTCCCGTTTCAAGCTCTTTATAAATGCCTGCACATTGCGCGCGGACGCTGCACTTTATTATTATCCCGGCACGCACCTTGTAGAGAATTTCAAAACGAGTTTTCTTTTATATCATTTTCATTATACCCTATGGGTATAAGGGTATATTATATTTGTGCGAAATCCAAATGTATGTAAAAGGCAGAAGGAAGCATCTCCGACCCCATAAAGTATATATATCATTGATCAGCATCAATAGCCGAGTCGATCTAGCCATGTCCGTCCGTCCGTCCGTCCGTCCGTCCGTATGTATGAACGCAAGGATCTCAGAACCTATAAGAGCTAGAACCTATTTAGATGTGGATGCTCCTAGCTCCCGCGCAGATCGAGTTTGTTTCCGATAATCGATAACTTACTCCGTTTCCAGCAATCGCAATCGATAAAAATCGATATCGATATAAAAATCGATATAATAAGAGCTAGATTCACCAAACTTGACATATAGCTTCTAAAATAGAGTATATATATATATATGCATTTGATGTTGGAAGAAGAGGGTTCAGGGTATCCCCTAGTCGGGAGCTCCCGACTAGAACCTCTTACTTGTTTTCTTTTATATTACGCCCACGCAGCGACACGAAATGGGCAATAACAGCGTGTTTTGATTGTGGCCCAGATGTTTTAAATGGCTTCGACGCTGTCATTGCCTTATTTCCTCTCCTCCTTACACCTCTCCCCGCCTCCCATCTCTTGCCGTTCTCAGCTACATGAAACCAACCATTCATTGACCCTCCCCCCCACCTTAAAGGAAACCCCCCCTGAAATGCTCAACGCTGTGAGATGGCCTTTTTTGGGCAACTGAAAGCGATGAAACACACTTGTCTCTCCTTGAATGAGTTTACCCAATGCTGTTTCTTTCAAAATTTCACTATGGGGCAGGTTCAGGAACATGTTGGATAATGTCTCTTGTATTGTATAAGCTCTGGTTTCCATTTGAAGAGAAGGTTTCTTAGTTTACCACAAGATTCATTAGGATAATGGGAGAGATTGAGATAGAGAGAGCTAGAGATGGAAGTTAAGATAGAGATGGGGATAGAGAGAGATAAAGAAAGAGATAGAGTGATAGAGAGAGATAGAGAGATATATAGATAGAGAGAGATATAATGAAAGAGAGAGAGAAAGAGATATATAGAGAAAGAAAGAGAGATAGAGATAGAAAGATATATAGATATAGAAAGATATTGAGAGATAGAGAGAGAAATATATTTTCTTCTCTCTCTCTCTATTTCTATCTCCATCTTAATATCTCTCTATATAGAGACAGAGAGAGAGATAGGGAGAGGATGAGACTGACAAATGGGCTATATATGATCTATAATAGCACTCCAACAACTTGCAAAGTTTTGAGAATAGCTCTCTCCTCTTCAAAATTGTTTGGATGTAAGAAAAGGTAAAATCTTAAAATCTTAAAATCTCTGACAACAAAGCTCTAGGTCTTGCTAGAGAGTGGATATATTTCATGTGTGGCCTACTATGCCCGCTTTTGCTTAACTACAGGGTATACAAATATGTTTTCAAGTTGGTTTTTTTTTTTGCTAATGTTATTGCCTGATGATACTTGAGAAAGTAATTTCTTGCTGTTGTTGTTTGGGTTTCGATCAGGTGACTTACACAGCAGACACGTTTGCTAGGGTTGGAGGGAGTTTGGGGGGGGGGGGGGGGGGCGGGGCGAGGCGAGGGTCTATTGGCATTACGAACTATTTAATGCGGCCCCGGATTCCGGCCAATTGCCAGAGAGCCGTTGCACAAGGCGAACTAAAGCCACTTGAGGCATATGAAAGTATATTGTGTGTATGTTTATATGTTACATATATATATATATATATGCATTTATTTTATAGTTTATCTAAAACCTTGTAGAGCCCATTGTATCGAAGGCAGGCGCCGACAAATGAAACACGCATTAAACTGGCCACGAAGGGGAACGGGGGAGGTCTTTGTGCATGGTAGAAGGGTTGGTGTGTAGGGGGTGGGGTGTTGTAAGGGCTAAGTTTGTAGTGTTGGCAAAGATTGTTTGCAGATTTTAGAGTTGAACAACATCGTTTTATCATCATACCTTATTTTGTAACTTTTGTTCTTCTAGTTCTTGAGCTCAATAACTAAATAGGAAACTCCCAAGTTTCCCATATTCAATTCCATTGCCTGAGTTTCTCCTCTTCGTTTCTTGGCTTTACATCTTTTAGTATCTGAGTTCGGTGCGTTTGTCTTCTCGGCAAAAGTCGTTCTACAGACAATTTCGCTTTGACTCTTTTTCAACTAGCTGAAAACTTTCATCTCCTCTAAAGCTCTAACCCTTTACTCAAGCTCGCCTAGAGCTTAAAGCTCACATAAAGCTCTAAACCTTAAGCTTGTTAAAATCTTATCGTATGTCTGAAGCTTTAACTTTTTACTCGCTTAAATCTTAAAGCTTCTCCGAAGCTCTTCAGCTTTACTTAATCTCGCTTAAATCTTAAAGCTTCTCCGAAGCTCCCGAAACTGAAGGTCAATTAAGGCTTCTCTGAAGCTCTAACTCGAAGCTGAAGCTCAATTAAATCTCAAGGCTTCTCTGAAGCTATAAACCTTCACTCGCTTAAGGCTTAAAGCTGCTTTAAAGCTCTCAAGCTTCACTTAAGCTCGCTTAAATCTTAAAGCTTCTCTGAAGCTCTAACTCGAAGCTGAAGCTCAATTAAATCGTAAAGCTTCCCTGGAGCTTTAAACCTTCACTCGCGTAAGACTAAAAGCTGCTTTAAAGCTCTCCAGTTTTACTAAAGCTCGCTTAAATCTTAAAACTCCTCTGAAGCTTTAAATCTTCACTTGCTTAAATCTTAAAGCTCACCCGATTCTCTCACCCCTTTGTTAGCCTGAGGAAGCTGTGCTTAAGGCATCTTCCTTACATTTGCTAATTTCAATCAAAACTTTAATTTAAAGCTTGTGAGAATTTACGCAGTCTGAAATTGAAGTCTATTTAAGATGTGACAGCTCGAAAGGTTCCATTCAAGTCGCTGAGAGGGAAACAACTTTCATTTCGGCCAAGCTGTGGAATGGGTGTGTATAGAGGAAGGGAAGGAGGGACTTGTCTTGTGCTGATGCTTATCCCGTGCCGGGCAATTGTTTTTGCTAGCATAATGCATAGAAGAGAAAGAACAACGAATATGCCCCTCGCACAATTCCCACTGTTATTGTTCGGGACGCTCTGGCAATGCTGATGAGCAGAAGATGAAGCAGAAGCAAAGACTGCGAGGGGAAGGGGTGAAGTAGGAGACAATTGTTGGCATTTGCGAAGTGTTTCTTGGCTGGATTTGGTGAACGCGATTTAGATTCAAGCAAAAATCTAATTCATGCATAGCCAGAACGAAAAGAACAACACGCATTTCCCTAGACAATATGGCAGCCCGGTCGCGAAAACTTTGCGCTTGTTTTTGTTATCCTTTTGCGAGTTTGACGTTAAATAAAATTGGATACGCCACAGTCCGCGAAGCTTTGTCAGCACAGAGACAATGCAATAAGCCCGGATGGGGCAACGCTTTGTAGGGTGGCAACGCTTGGTGGGGTGGCAACGCTTGGTGGGTTGGCAACGCCGCCGCCATTTTGTAATTGTTGCTTTGCTGATTGTATTTTGTGTTTGATTTCGCTTGTTGCAGTGCTTTCCATTCGCAACACGCAGGAGGAGGAGCCGCCAGATCCGCAACTGATGCGTCTGGATAACATGCTCATTGCCGAGGGCGTGGCCGGGCCCGAAAAGGGCGGCGGCGGCGCCGCAGCCGCCTCAGCAGCGGCCGCCAGCCAAGGCGGCTCGCTGTCCATCGATGGGGCGGACAATGCCATCGAGCATTCGGATTATCGCGCCAAGCTCGCGCAGATCCGACAGATCTATCACCAGGAGCTGGAGAAATACGAGCAGGCCTGCAATGAGTTTACCACGCATGTCATGAACTTGCTGCGCGAGCAGAGTCGCACCAGGTAAGAGAGAGAGAGAGAGAGAGACGGAGAGAGTTGCCAGATGGTCAATTGAAATTTATCGAAAGATGCGCTATTTGTGAAAGCAAACTTAACAAATGTTGACAACAGAATATTATAACATATTCTTGAGTAGAAGATTGAGCTAAGACGATCTCGATGCTGGGTAAATGTGGAGAACGAGCTTCCATTTAATATCGATAAATATGGATTTTTAAAATTTAAAACATATTCTTGATCAGAAGACTGAATGTCAATCTCGATATTGGGTAACAAGCCTTCATTTATTATCGATAAATATCGATTTTAGTTGTTTTGCGCATATTAAAACATATTATTGCTCAGAAGAATGAGCTAAGTCGGTTTAGGCTACCTTCTGAAATATATATGCTCGAATACACGCTGAATTAATATCGATAATTATCGATTTATGTTATTTCGATAAATTTCTACAACATCTGACAATATGGGCTGCGCTTGTGACGTATCGATATATCGATAAGTCAAGATTAGCCTGCGCTTGCGACTTATCGATATATCGATAAGTCACGAGTAGCCTGCGCTTGTGACTTATCGATATATCGATGCTTTATGCATGTATAATTAATATATATATATATATATTTTTTTTTGGGGTTTTCCTCTTTGCCGCAGACCCATCACACCCAAAGAAATCGAGCGCATGGTGCAAATAATCCACAAGAAATTCAGCTCGATTCAGATGCAGCTAAAGCAATCGACCTGCGAGGCGGTCATGATATTGCGTTCCAGATTCTTGGATGCGCGCCGAAAGCGTCGCAATTTCAGCAAACAGGCATCCGAAATACTCAACGAGTATTTTTACAGTCATTTGAGCAATCCGTATCCATCCGAAGAGGCCAAGGAGGAGCTGGCGCGCAAGTGCGGCATAACTGTGAGTATCGATAAATCACATTAATCGATTAACATGATCGATACTCAATACGTTGACTATTGCAGGTGTCGCAGGTATCCAACTGGTTTGGCAACAAGCGCATTCGCTATAAGAAGAACATTGGCAAGGCCCAGGAGGAGGCCAATCTGTATGCAGCGAAAAAGGCGGCCGGCGCCTCGCCCTACTCCATGGCCGGGCCGCCCAGTGGCACAACCACGCCCATGATGTCGCCCGCACCGCCACAGGACTCGATGGGCTATCCCATGGGCTCCGCCGGCTACGATCAGCAGCCGCCCTACGATAACACCATGGGCGGCTATGATCCCAATTTGCATCAGGATCTTAGCCCTTGAGGATAGGCTGCCAAAAAGAAAAAAAAACAGCTACAAGTAGACAGTTTATTATGTTTTAATCCACCCCCCCACTTTTTTTTTTGCTTATTCCTGTAAAAACGTGTACATGTGTATCGATAAATGTGATTGTGTCTCTCTGTGTGTGTGTGTGTGTGTAGCCTACAATCAATTATGTATACGATTATGTCTTAATTATGAATAACAAACAAAATGTAAGAAATGCAACAAAAGAAACACACAGTTGCTTAAGCTAAAGCAACAAGAAACACACACACACACACACACACACACACACACACATGTATACATACACATACGCATGCACAGTGGGCCTCAGTCTATTTGTTGGCACGCATCAAATCTAATATATTTAAAAGTCGAATCATTTTTGTAAGCAAATCAGCCATGGAAATGAGAAAAATGTCATTTTGAGCAGCGTGTTTTTTTAATGTCACGTACATTTTCTAATTCCTAAAAAAAAAGCAAGAAAACAAAGAGACTAAACATAAAATTTCAATCGAAAAGAACACGCTCTTCGTACTGACATTATTCTCTATAAATCAACAATTGATTAGATACTAAATAAATATATCTTCTTTTTTGCGCGCAGCAAATAGATTGTTGCCCACTGTGCAATGCATGCAGTATTGCCAATTCAGCTACTTTCTAGCTAAATTCGGCTATTTTCAGAGCTCCTATAGCCGAAAAGAGCCGAAAGCTTAAATCGTTTTAGCCATTTGCCTTGGCTGTTTATTGCCAACGGCTAAATCAGCTGTTTTGGCTGCTTTTGGCTGTTTTTTTAAATTTTTTTTTTTTATAGCTACTTTTAACTTTGCGACAGTTGGCAACACTGTACATACAAGCCACACAATTCATTAAAATTGATAATAAATGAAAGTAAACGAGAAAAACGAACGTAACGAAAATTGTAATTTGCACAATTAATAAACAAATTTGTATACCATAATTAAGTTGAAACAAAACGACAAGAAGAAACATGTATACGATGTAAATCAAATTTAACATACAAAGATTTTCCTTCCAATCCCAAAAGAACACGAGAACAAAAAGGAAAACATTTTCCGAGTTTTCATTATCATGTTACGAACGGGAATAAAGAGGATTGAGACAAGAACAAGAAACACAAGAAAAATTGATAATTCAAAAAGTTTCTCTCTCTATTTGACGGAGCAAGTTTTGTAATAACAAATAAAGTAAAGAAAACAAAAACTATTTCTAAAAAAAAAACAGTCTATATATACGTAAAACTACATAACTATAAATCTTTTAGAACAAATACAAAACAAACAAACAAACAATGCTATACTATAATAATAATAATAAACAAAAGGCAAAGATTACTTGATTTCATTTATTATGGATTCTCTCTAAGCAAAGTTATATAAGCATATATATTTAAGTATCTTAATCGTGAGCTTATATCAAAGATTTGTAATTTGTTTTTGTTTTTCTTTCTTCTAGGATATCTAATGCAACCAAAAGTTGTCTGTGGAGCATAAATTGATGGACTGATATGAGAACAGTTTTGTCATCATTGTGATGGGATTATATCTTGTCTAGGAAAGGATAAAACAGGTTTGCTCTCTTTTAGGTTACTTATTTTCTATAAGTCTGTATATGAAAGTTGATTTGAACCGCCGACCTCTCGCTTGCCAGTTCGACGCTTAGACGCCCAACACGAGACACAGATGGAATTTTGAAAGAAAAAGCTTAACCCTATGAAAATCGGATGAGATGTGACTGAGTTATGGGGTTGGCAAATTTCTACCTATGTCTGAGTAGGATATTTTAGGGTAATATTTTGACTTAAATTGCCAAATTTAAGGAGGGTTTAGGCACAATAGCTGCACGCTTGCGCGCTGCAGCGATTTTGCTTTTCCCATTTGAACATTTTTGAATAGGAAATAAATAGCGGGCCAAGCATCGATATTTTTAGCAGCGTGTCTATCGCGCCATCGATATATCGATATATTCTAATGCTGCAGCTGCTGCAAAAATATCGTTTAGCCTAGTTTCTCAACACTGTTTTTTCTTTTCTTGCCGCCTTCATGATATCGATAACATTTTGAAAATGACAGCTGAAATGAAATTTAAATCAAATGGCGTTTACTTGGATTAAAAGAATTTAATGCCTTTTAGTCAATTAGCCAGCGAGGCGTTAAATACAACATTTGATGGCCATCTAAAGTACTTCCATGTTAACCCCTATGCTGTCGCTTGGGTGAAGAAAAAAAAAAACGTTAGCCAAGTTAGATTTATACAAATTTCGTTTATTACTGCCAAGTCTCGCAGACTAGACTAATTTAGCGTTACGTCTTACATAGTTAAATGCAATATATATAGAGAATTAGAGCTGGTCGTTAGCGATATGCTTGGAAGCCAGTGGCAGTTGAAATCAAACGAAATATGCCGCCAATTGTGCCATTTTATCCTTGGGCGGACGTCCGCCATGCCGTCCGCCGCGTGCATTGCCCGCGCCGCCTGGTCCGGCGGCAGCAGGGCCGCCGCCACGAGGCGCACCGCTGCGCACCTGACGGGAGGCAACTGCTCGATGCTTTTCGACCAGATGGGCGAACTCCGTGGAGCAGAAGATGCAGCCGCTTTTCTCCTCGCTGCCATCCTTGAACTTGGACTTGTCCGATTTGTACACGACGTTCACCAGCTGAGCGCCACAGTCGCTGCACTTGCTCTCTATGGAGATGGAGGAGCACAAGGATTAGCAATTTGAAAAAGAGATGTGAGATGCGAGAAGATTGGGGGGAAACTCACCTTCGACTGTGATTTTGGTGGCACCCTTGAAGCAATTGATGATCACATCGCAGCGATTGCAGCCCAGCTTCCAGGTGGGCGACAATGTGCTGTCCAGTACAAGCACGCCCGTCTCGCACTCCACACAGCCGGAGATGCCCAGCGTGTTGAGCGAGTGCGGGCAGGTGGGATGCGTGCAGGAATTGCAGCCGCCAAACTTGGGCATATCCCTGAACGGCGGATGATTGTAGCAGTACGGGCAGAACGGAAACGAACGACCCTTGACGCCCGTCGAGAACGCCAACAGGCCGAAATCATCCAGCGGACACTTGAACTCCCGATACACCTTCACATTGCCATTGGGCAGCGTATAGTTCTCGTCGCAGTGCGAGCAGTACAGCCGAGCCGGCTTCGTCTGAAAGAGACAGCAATACATCGAGACGATTAATCCATGTAAAACACAAATTAAAACCTAACACAGTTCAAATATGACTATATAGCAATTTAAAGTCAAACCATAATCAATCATAATCTATATACATCATCTACATCCATGTCTACATCTATATCAAGGTCTACATCCATATTTAAGTCTTAATCTACATCTACATCTACATCTTTATCTACATCCACATACAAGTCTACATCTACATCTTCATCTACATCTACATCTACATCTACATCTACATCTACATCTTAATCTTAATCTTAATCTACATCTACATCCATATCCAAGTCCCAATCCCATATGTATTCTACATCTACATTTTAATCTACATCCTGGTCTACATCTACATATTAATCTACATCCACCTCCAAGTCTACATCTTAATCTACATCCATATCCATTCTACATCTACATCTTTATCTACATCCATATCCATTCTACATCTACATTCTAATCTACAACCACATCTTCATCTACATCTATATAAAGATGATTAAGATCGATACTTTATAGATTAAGATCTACATCCACATCAAAGTCTACATCTGAGTCTGCATCCATATCCAAGTCTTAATCTACATGCATATCCATGTCTACATCTCCATCTCGATCTATATATCCTCAACTTTGTCATCCGTATCGCACCTGTATATACTTCATGTAACGGCGACATTTACCGCAGCGGGAATGCGCCTTGCCGGACTCGGCCAGCGGCGAGAAGGAAGACTCGAAGAGCATGTCCATGCTGGCGATGTTCTGTACGAAGAACATGAATTTCAGCTTAAAGATTTTGATGGCATGCCGCAGGACATCATTGAAATCGGCCGAGCCCTTGGCGATGAGTGTGAGCATGCGCTCCACCTCGGAGCGCATGGTGGGCAGCACCAGTTCCGGATCGATCTTCTGATAGCCATGCACCAGGACAATGCCCAGCGTGGTGGGTATCAGTTTGCGTCCAGTTTCGATGCGCACATAGTTGCGCTGGCAGATATTATTGATGTGCACCGGTATCGAGGCATCTGTGCCGATGCCATGCTGTTCCATGAGCGTGATCAGCTCCGCTTCGGTTAGATAATCGGGCGGTCCGGTTTGGCTCTCGGCTAGGCGCACATCATTGATGGCCACCTGGCTGCCCTGGACAAAGGGCGGCATTGCCTCATCCTTGCCGAAGGCCTGCCACGTCATCACCTTGGTGAAGCCCGCGTCGAGCAGCACGTTCGCCGTGCACGTAAAGCACTCGAGACCGACGCGCAGCTTGGCCGTTGTGGTGCGATACTTCAGATCGCGCGATATGGTGCCCATGAAGTGGCGGCAAATGAACTCGTATACGCGCCAGGTGTCCCGATCGAAGTCGCCGCGATGGCCCAGCTTCATGGGCGTTATGGGCGGATGATCGCCGGCATCCTTGCCCTTGCGCGGCGTCTGAAAATCACCGGCAATGGCGCGCGCCTCCTCCCCAAAATCGCCCGATGGCTGCAGTACGCGCAGCACCGCATGCAAATCAAAGTTCTCCGGATACTGATTGGTCTCCGTGCGCGGATAGCTGATATAGCCCTGCGTATAGAGACGTTCGGCGATTTGCATCGCCTGAAACGGGCCAATGCCCAAGCCGGAGCTGCAGATACGCATCAGCTCGACCGTGTTCAAGGCCTGCGGCTTGCTCTTGAACGACTCCTTGCTGCTGACGCTCTCCACGCTGAAAGAGACGGAGAGGGAGAGATGAGCATGGAAGAGATCTATGAAGGAGGAGTAGGGCTGCACTTACGTGGCCTCCTTGTGCTCCTTGACGCGATTCAGCAGCATGATGGCAATGTCCTTTTTGAAGACACGCCCACGCGCCCATTCGAGCGTATATTCCGGCTGGCCGGCCATCAGCTGGAGATACCAGAACGTCTCCGGCTTGAAGGTCTGTATATCATCGTGCCGCTTTACACAGAAGCCAAGAGTCGGCGTCTGACAGGGGCCGTACGAGATGAGGGATGAGTCGAGATCGCCGTAACGGCCCTGGAAGAATTTCGTTTGGAAGCGCGTAAAGGCACAGCCGATGCGCAAATCGAGCTCCTGGCGTGCATCGACAGACTTGGCCTCGTTCTCATTGGGATGTCCCAACGTTTCCATTGCGCCCTTGATGTCCTTGTCCGTGATGGCCGAGAAGTGCGCCCGATATGTCACATTGCGGCTATAAACATTGTGTATAACATGCTGCACTGCGTCCATCACCTCAAAGCAAATGTTCTCGCCCTCCTTGTCGCAATCGAGCCACAGCACAAGATAATCGCAGCCGCGTGCCTCGTGCGCAAGAAACGAACGCATCTGCTGCTTGGGATTGCATTCCTTTTTCTCTGTGGTGCAGCCAAATAGCTCCACCGGATCCACCTTGTCCCATGACGTATATTTGCTGGTAAAGTCCAGCGACATCACATGACCGCACACGGATGTCATCCGAAAGTGGACGCTGCCCTCGTTCCGGAAGTGACCGGTCCACTCATGCGTGGAGCAGCCGTTGTTGCCTGTCAAGGATTAATGCACATGTGAGTGGATATTTAAGGGATTAGTCGCTCGTTTCTAACCTCGCTTTGCCGTGCAGCGTCCGTTGGAGAGTATGCCGGCCAGGGAGGCAGCCAGCGAGGGCTTCTCGGCCACCATCAGAACGTTCTTCATGGCCTAAATGTGTTGATGATGACACCGACTTCTCCTCTCTCTCGCTCTCGCTCTCTCTCTCTGCTTCTTCACACGCACAATGGGAGATGATTCTTGTTTTTAGCGACACTTTCATAGAATAACCTACATATGTGTGTGTGTGTGTGTGTGTGCGTGTGTGTGTGGAAGCTGCTGCTGCCGGTCTTTTTTTCTGTGCTGTTGCCTCTTATTTTTGTATTGCCACGCCTTATTGCAGTCAATTGCAATACGCTCTGAAGCGGCGCGTTCAACTTTAATACACTTTTGATATTTTCAGTAAATAAATATAAAAATTCAGAATGTATTTGCAAAAAAAAAAACCAGTGTAGCCGTAGCTGTTGTTAGTGATGTACAAAAAAAAAGAAACACTGCAATTAGGGATGTAAGTGGCGTATCGATAGCTGAAGTTGTGTCTGTGAAACGATACATCGATTAGGCCTGCCGCTTAACGATCGTTAAGCGAGTCATCGATGTCACAATGCCACCACCTACATATCTTTTATTTCCCAACACTTAAATATTTGTCAGGCAAAGTTAATTAAAAAAAAAAAAGAGCGTTGCGACATATATCGCCAAATTACGATTTTTTTGTACTTTTTTTTATATGTGCTATAATGAGTACGTTTATTATTTTAAGTATACACAAAATCTGTTTGCTGTGCAAGCTATTATTATTTGAACTCTTGCAGAATTGCAAGTATTTGCACGCCGTAATTTAAAATAACGCGCCAAGGGTGGCAACGCTCGCACAGAAACAACCACCCAGTACTGGGAGCCGTCTCCCACACAAATACACCCGCAAAAACACCGGAGCGTACACACACAGACGCACGCAGACACTTGCTCAGCCGACTTGCAGATGCAGGCAGAGCCGCAGCCGCAGCCGCAGCCACCGCTACATAGCCCGTTACTCAGTTGAGTTTTGGCCGTGAACGTGTTCAGGTGCGCGTTGTCCGATTTCTGTTGCCGCTGTGCTTGTCCGCGTCGTCGCCGTCGTCGTCGTCGTCATTAGCGTCGCGTTTTGACGTGTGTGTGCGTCTGCGTCTGAGTGTACGTTTTTTGTTGTATTTTTTTTTTGGCGACGGTTAGCAAAATCATTTTGAACGTAGCTACATATATTTATGAATATATAAGAGCACATACATACATACATATGTTTATGAAAAGTTTTAAATGTTGTATAAGAAAAGTTCGTGTCTTTAAAATACATACATATATTTACACACACAAACACACAGCACACACACACACACACACATATATATATATACACTTTTGTTTTTTGGCCAAGAAATGCCCAGCAAAGCGTAGCAAAGTAAAAGCAGAAATTGAGAGTTGTTTTTGTGTTGTCGCAGCAGCAGCAGCAACAACAACAACAGTAACTCCTACGCAACAGTGGCAACACCGGCGGCAGAAACAACCGTTTTTTCAGTTGTTTTTTGTTTGTTGCCGCAGCCGCTTAAAATGCCGTCGCTTTCTTTTGCGTGCCCATGCAGCGCGCCTCCTGGCGCAGGCCATCCCCCCCCGCCCACCCCTCCTCGCAAACGCATGCACAACGCACCAAGGCGCGCTCTGTTGGCGCCGTTTTGCAATTGTCTTGTTGTTGTTATTGTTGTCGGTGTTTATTTGCATATATGTATATGTATATGAGTATTTGTATGTATGTTTTTTAATTTCTCCAGTGTTTGTGAATGAATTTGACAAACATTCACGATAATTGCTGCGCACAAACAAATAATGTTATTTATTAATTTTATTTGTACGTTTATTGTTGTTAGAAACTTGTCCTAAATTTGCTTGAACAACATTTCATATGAAAACTCGTTTTATGAGCTTTGCATTGTTTTTGTTGCTGCTATGTTTCTTAAGCTTTAAAGTTGATTAGCTGCTGTTGTTGTTGTTGTTGTTGTTCTAGTAAATGACAGAACAATGGCTTAAGCTTCGCTTGGATCTCACATTCTCTCTCTGCCTCTCTTCCTCTCTCTCTCTCTCTGCCATCATTGATGGCTTGCCCACACTCTGCTTCTTCTTCTTCTACTTCAGCTTACGCTCGCGCTCTCTTTTAGCTGCAGCTCAGCAACAAAGTTGAAGGCCTTTTTTGCATACGGCAATGTTATTAACAAGCAGCAACAAGCAGCAACAACAACAACAAAACGACCCTAAGCAGCTTTAATGAACAAACAACAACAAGCAAAAACGGGTTATTGTAAAAGTTGTTGATTTCTTTTTATTGGCATTTAAATACACACACAAATATACATATTTTTTTTCTGGTTGGACATACATATTTATGTTTTGCATCGTGACGTCATCAACGCTGAGCAAATTGACAACATGTTAATGCAATAACAATTAAAGCAATACATATCGAAAAATCGAAAGCTTGGCCTGAACAAAAAACCCAAAAAAAAAATAACAAGAAACAACATTGGCGCAGGCGCCGCTGGCCAAAATGCAAAGTGGAAGAGAAAGAGAGCCAGATAGAGCGAGCGTGGGAGAGCGAGTGAGCGAGCGCTATTGATCGGCAGCAAAAGCTGTGCGCTGAGCTTGGCTTCAAAGCTGCGCTCACACACACACACACACGCACACACGACACATGCATACACACGCGCCAGTGTTTGCCTGCCTAGTTTTTCGCTCTCGCGCTCTTATCTAAATTTTGTACGCGTTGCCAATGCATAACTCTCTCGCTCTCTCGCACACTCTCAAATTGACTCTCTCTCTTTTGCAGAATGACGTGAGGAAAGTTCATAATACAAAAATCCACAATTAAGTTGTAGTTGTAAAAAAAAAAAAAAACAAAAAAGGTTACAACAAATTAAAAACAATGCATTTGCACAAAACAAAAACTACGCTTTCAACGAAAATGTCGAAAATTAAAAGAAATTAGTTAAAGTGCATTTGTTCAAAAGCAAACGCAAAAGATCATAATAAATAAGCAAAATAATAATAATAATAAAAACAACTGCAAAATCAACGTTACGCTAGCAACATACAACAACAACAGCAGCAGCAGCAACAGCAACATAACGGCCACAATATGTTGTACACGCTAAGCAAAGCAACAACAAGAATCCGACTCAAAAGGCAACGGCAACATTGTCAGCAACAGCCAAAAACAACAACAGGAGCAGCTCGGCAACATTGTTGGATTTGGAGCCTCGCATTTTTGGCTGCATTTTGCGCGCAGGTAAGCAACATTTTCAACTGCTTAGATGCAGACACACACTTACACATAAACATGCTTGTGCACGCATGCGATCGTTAACCCTTTAATGCCGTTTCGTATTATCATTTTTCTAATATAAAACATAATGCTTCTGTTAGTGGTAATTATTGTTATTGCTGTAAAATAATGTAAGCCGTATAATCAAATTCGCATAAGAAAACAACGAGAATTGTTCAATTAATGCAAAATCATTGCAAAATAATTCGTTATGCACTCAGAGGTTAACTGTGTGTGCTTAGCAACATTTGCGCGGCGCTAGCAACATTTGCGCGACGCTAGCAACATTGTTTGTGAACACGAACAGCACGCACACAAGAGACGCATAAATCACAGCTGCACTTGCTGCGTTCTCATGCTGGTCTCCTCTTCTTCCTCTTCTTCTTCGTCTTCTCGCTGTTGTTGTTGTTGCAGTCTCCCATTGTTTCAAGTACAGCGCGCATTTCCCATGTTAATTCAATTCATTTCGCATCGTATTTTTTTGGCTCTGTTTGTGTGTGTGTGTTTTTGTTATTATGCTACTTGATTGGGGAGAGGGGTGTGCGATCTCTTCTCTGCCTCTCTGCTTTACACTGTTCGCGAGAGACCTTGAGCAGTGCGCCAGCCAATTGGAGCGACTGAAATGGCAATAGTCAAGCAAATGAATATGCATTCGGTCAGATTCGGATACGGATACAGATAAAAGACACACAGATATACGGCCTGATCGATTTATGGCTGGATCGTGATGCTGATTGCATAACGATTGAGGTATTAATAACATTATGTATATATATGTATGTATATATGCCTGCTTATCAATTGAAATATCGAACGTCATAAAAGCTGCGCTTGTATACCGTTTTATTTCAAGCTTTTGTCGCTTAGAATCTGCTTTTAACAGTGCTGCAAATGCTTAAAAATAACTGTTCTCTACAACATAACCTCACAAAAAATCTTCAAATTTTGTTTATTCTCAAAAATCTTCGAAAATAATTGATAAAAGATTAAAAGAAAGTAAATAAGTTGTCGTTGGTTTGGCTCACAGTGTTGAAAAACGGCGAAAAACTTTAGATTCGGCTCATCGTTTTGCACGCTTATCAACCCTGGAACCGCTTTTGCTAGATATATTGAAATAATTCACTTGAAAAACTTCATATTATCGTGTTAAATTCTTGTGTGCTTGTTCTAGTTTTTAGCTATTTTTGTTTTAGCTCAATTTACGAGCTTCTCGTATACTAGCTAAATGACAATAAGAGCATAGAACTACGCCAAAAGCAAATAACCAGATGATATATTAGCTTCGCAATGGAATTCTCCCATTAAGAACTTGTGAGCTCGAGTCATAAAACAAAAAACACACGACCAAATTAATGACTATTTGTTTCGGAGCCAGCAAATGAACGTCACGTAGTTCTAATAAATTATGGGCAAGCATGCTTAGTATTTTGTTTAGTATTTTGCATTTAGTGCTTAGATTTACGGTTAGTGATGGACTTAGCCAGACAGTCAGTGCTAAAGTTAGTTAGTTAGTCAGTGTATCAGTCAGTCAGTTAGGTAGTCAGACAGTCCATCAATCAGTCAGTCAGACCATCAATCAATCAGTCCATCTGTCAGTTAGTTAGTCCATCAGTCACTCCATCAGTCAGTCTGTTCATCTGACTGACTCAGTCTATCATTCAGTCCATCAGTCAGTCAGTCAGTCCATCATTTAGTCCCTCAGTCAGTCAATCAGGTCATGAGCCTGCGAACTAGTTCGTGCTGGTTGCTTTCGGTTCATTTTGCTTGAATTCAAATTTTGTTTGTTTTTGCTTTGTTTTTAACACTTCCGGCGCGTTTGTTCCTGATCTGGTTCATTGTAGCCAATCGCTGGAACTGTTGCTGCTGCTGTTGTTGGTTTTTTTTCTAGTCGTTTGTCTATTCGATAAATGAACGCAAATATTTACCATTTAGTCACATACAACGAATGGGAACTGGAATGGCTTGGCAATGTGGCCAGCGTCATGGCCCAAAAGTCACGTCTGCCGCGCGGCGCTTTTAGTACACAGTCCGAACTTAAGCACATATAAGCCATATACATTTACATACATATATTTTTTTTGTAAGCATCTGCAA